CGTGGATGTAAGCAATTATAGGCAACCGTACGGCCTTCGACAATGAGAAAAACCCATAACGTATAGTTGGCTATAAAAGGTCCTGACATTAAAAATATACTTACTCACAACAACAAAAACACAAAGTACAGATCTGAGAGTACTCGCAATTACTGACAGCTAGTTCAAAGCCAATAACAACTAATAAAAAATCATGTATCTAAGACGCTGTTTGTTTTTCTTGTCCCGTGTGTGACTTTGTCAAATGATTACCCTTCTCCTGGACTATCGCTTGGTTTGTCTACCATTAATTGGTTAAGTTAAGAAAATTGTTGAGGCAAGCTGACTGTGCATAATACTAATGTATAGATTTAATTCTTAATTTTAGAACAATTGGCGTCAATGTCTCTTAAAAAAGCGTGTGATGCTGAAGGTCAATTTCAAAATGTGAATATTGAAGAAAGCAGATACTACTATTATTGACAATATCTTGTAAAATGTACAGTGTATGTTTTTGCATCACTATACGGGGCCTCAGTAGAATACCCTCCTTAGGTCGCGTTAAAAAAATGCGTCAGTTTGCCTCAGTTTTCAGCAGATTTAAGATTTTGTTTTTAAAAAATGCCATAGGTTGTATTAAATGAGTCGCCCACCTAATCCCTAAGGTGGCGGGTCAGATTTGGCCAGATTGGAGCCATACAATATCAAATATACAGAATAGATTCTGTATTTTATAAAGCAAATCATATTGTGACCCCGCCTAATTTGTTGAAAATAGTTTGATGAGAATCTGTATAAATAATTCCCTGTATAACGTATTCTGCATATACTAGTCGACAAAAGAAACGATACAAGGCAATGTATTTTCCATTTAATATAATGAAATTGGATACACTGTACCAAGGTAAATAATTGCCCAATTGGTCTAATATTTAATGAGTGTTATTTTCTTATAAAAATCATTGATTTAAGGCAAATACGCGAATCTTTTTTTTGGCAATTTTTGTTATTTCAAAAATCATATTTTCCCCTTATAATTAAAAAAGTCGATAGTAGAACTTAAACATAGTCTGCTAAAAATTTTGAATGGTTTTGCAGATATTTGAATACTTTATTCTCATCTTCGAAATTAAGTGCCGGCTTTTGTCATCATTTTCCGCAAAATAAATTTGACCCAGGGCTGTGTTCAATAACACGGTATTTTCTCACTTTCCAATTTGGTCAGATTCTTTTAATCATATGCATTTGTTTTGCAAATGAATTTTTTTCATTAGATAATTTAACACTTTTTCCAATTATATTGTATGATAAACTGGAGTTCAAACTTGTATATCGTTACTTTAGTTGACTAGTATATATATATATGTAATAATAATTATGTATTTAAGAATTGTTACGTCATAATACCGTATATACGGAATTCGAAGTCTATCCATACGGAAATAGTCTGTATATCAGTTTTTTGAATTCTGTTAATACATAAACGATTCCTGTATATACGAAAAGGCGCGAAAATATATAATGACGTCCATAATCACTGAACTAGTACACATTTTTGTTTAGGGGCCAGCTGAAGCACGCATCCCGGGTGCGGGATTTTCTCGCTGTGTTGAAGACCCGTTGGTGGCCTTCGGCTGTTTTCTGCTCTTTGGTCGGGTTGTTGTCTCTTTGACATTTCCATTCTCAATTTTATAATTGAATAATATACCTCTATTCACAAATTTTAATTACGTATATACAGATTTCGAATTAAGTGTATAAAAGTATTCGAACTACCTATATAATATATATGGAATTATTTCTGTACATATGTAATAACACGTACGTTATAATACAGATAGACATAATTTGTTTACCCTTATACCGCGCAATAATTATTTCTAAGTGTCGGACTAATGGGTTGTCGGATTATTGGGCTGTCGGATTATTGGGTTGTCGGACTAATGGGTTGTCGGACAAATGGGCTATCGGAACAATGGGCCGTCGGACTAATGGATGTCGGAATAATGGCGTGTAACCAAAAATTTCAATCTCTATGCAGGAAATATTTAACTGAATAATCAGGGATAAAAGAAAGATCTGAAAAAGTGTATTAAAAAAAATGTCGAAATAAAAAGCTGTATTTCAACAACACAAGCTTCGTGTTGCTTATGTTAACACACATAACGATACGGGAATATATACCGGCATTTGATCGTTAATTGACAACCTAATTTGAGATTTATCAAAAGTTAATGTTGTACTTTTACTCTTTATTATTTTTGATTAAAGTAAAAAAAAAGACTTTCTGTGTTGTATCATTTACTTCTACTAGGACAGCACAGGAAAGCCAGCATTTTAAAGATGATCATTATCATCAAAAGGACATAAAATCATTATTTCATGCGGACTCTGCCAGGCATCGATTTGGCTAATCATTTTGGAAAAGCTTTTTAGAAATTTTGGGATGCTCTTCAACTTCGTAATTGTTCATCGCTATTGATTAGTCATATGCAGACGAATAATGACTAAATTATAAGCCTGGTTTCTTTGATTATTATTACGAAAAACCAGTAATATTTGGTATAGTTTGGTAGGATTTACTTTTTTGTAATATGCATCAAAGGGAATTTAATGACTCAAAAAGTGCTTACATGATACAAGATATACTTTGAATAGGTTTTTGAACTTTAGCAAAATGGCAAACAAAATTGATTGGCTCACCGGGCAATCACTACTGTAAGCTAATTTTACGGACAACTTGTTTTGATAACATTGACATTCCTTTCAAGACAACTTTTAATATTCAAATGATCAAGTTTATTTTATAAAATATGAATTGTGTATATATACATATAACAGAATAAATAAAAATAACACTGAAATTACAATATTGGTTTATTCATTTGAGGACATATTTGTGATATTATGAGTTTGACTTTGACAGACTTGTTAATCGTCAAAATATAATAACATTTAAAAACATGCCATTGTATAGCAAACTTTAAACTCAGACAATTTCTACACTGTTATGGGATTATTACTGCATTACACCTTTTTTCCATTAACAAAAACATTTGTTTATTACCAATAAGAAGAATAACGTGACGAAGAAATAGTGGATGAACATTGTCCTAGTAGTATTTGACCTACCTAGTAGCTTATCTTTGACTTTTGTTAGGAAAGCGTTTTCTATTGTTATGATTTAATTTTGAGTTACTGACAATAACCTATTTTTGCTGCAATTCAATGACACTGTCTGAATATAGTACAAAATATAATACAATCTATAATTTTAGCTACCAAAAAAAAATATACTGTATATATATCTAATGTGCTATGCTATGATTACTTTATACACACGTAAACATGTATCGTGGCATAAATTTAATGTTTTTTTATATCGGAAAATATCTAAATTACTGTTACATGATAGATAAGAGAACACTAAAAAATCCAACGGAGGTAATCGTGGAAAACAAACAAAATATCCAACTACTACGATAACAGATAACACAGTTCTTAAACTCTGAATGGTTATGTACAAAAGGGACAGAATATATCAAGGAGGCAATCACCAAAAACATCATAAGTCGAAGAAAAACAGAGAAGACCACGACCAAAAAGACTAACAACAGTCTACAGAACAAAAGCGACAAAAGGAGCTCCAGAAGGGTAATTTCCAGCTATGCCTAGTGGCACCCGTTGTGTTGCTCATTGCAAGTAAACAAGACGTGATAAGTCGCATTTGGCGATATTATAATCGAGGAAAAGAAAAGAGGCTGTGGTTACGACAATTAGAACATATCAATGGTAATCTGTTACACATATATTCCATTACCAGTTTGAAATCTAGTGAAAATCTTTTACGAAAAAGTTGAGAAAATAAATAATAACACAATGCCGGTGACGATACTGATCAAAAGTTATTTCTAAACAACAATTGTACATTTCAAAGAATTTATTTGTTAAACTGTGTTATTAGAAATATACATGCAAATACACGATGCTGTCCGTTCAATATTTATCAAGATAGAGGCTTGTGAAACTGAAATCTAAAAAATGTTAATCCTTGGTGCATAAAATCATGTACATGCAAAATCTCAAGATATTTCGGGTCACCTGTCTGATCTTGTCACGTGAACATTCAATATAGAAATATTGTCTTTTCGTGAATATAACAATTTAAAAGTGTGTCTGTGCAGGTTCAAAAGTTAAAGATAGATGTTTTTATACAGTAGGTATCTTTATACTATTTTTTTCAATACTTTTAAGAAAAGGTCGTCTCGATTTTTGTACATGTATTTGCGGTCTTTTCGATCTATTCACATTCAATGTTTACTTCGGGATAAGGTCCGTTTGGATGTGCTAAGTGGATTAATTTCAAACGTGTTAATCTTTACTGCATATCAACCGATTCATTTGAGATGATTTGATCCATAGAAAGCCTTTGTTCATTAGCGTCCTCGTAAGTAGCAATCTCCTATCAAGTAAATCATGTTAGGAAAAGCAAGCAGATACGATATTACATAGCTCGTGTTTTCTATTAGAATTATTACGACAGAGGTTTACTGCTTCTAAAAGCATGAAAATGTAATTGGTTACATTCCCAATCGTCTAGCACACATATATCAAAACAAATCCTTTAGAAAGAAAAAACATATCTTCTATCATTTATTCTAATGTATATAAATTAATGCTGCAACTTAATACAGAAAATTTCGTTTGATCACGAGAAAGATATATATAACTTGATAAGGTCAGTCAAGCTTTCTGGCAAGCTTACATTTGTATTCATTTGATATCATAATAATCTCACTAAATTTAAACAGTTGATACCACAACAATAATATATTGTCAAAGGTGAAACAAAATTTTCAATAATATTTCGACAACAATCGAGCTAATATATTTACACACGAACAAAGAAAATGTTTTCACTTAAACTAGATATAATAACGGATTCCTAAAACGAAATGATCTTATTGATAGAAAATATTAGTCAAGACTTTTGTATTTAAACCACGTGATACAAACGTATCATAAGCTCTGTCGTGGGATTTTAAGGATAGCGTAACGGAGAAGACATATTAACATGAAGCGGAAAAGGGTTATTTTGAGTTTAATTTTATTTGGTAAGTTCCATAAGAATATTATAACACCCACAGAAATAAGGATTATAGCTAAATACTCTTAATTAAAATATACGATATTTTTCCAGAAAGAAAACAAAGTCGGGTCGTAAAATGAAGATGAAAACGCAACTGTTTTATGTTTTATATTTTTTTTTAATTATTTGACCCGTTTCTTAAACAATAGCATGGATCTTAATTTCAATAGTGCTTCAGATCTCTTAGCGCGTTTTTTGTGTGTAAAGGAAAAGCTGAGACTATGATTTGATTACTTTGTGTAATGTACTGATATAACGGTGTTTTTTCTATTTTCAAATTGAATTTTGCTATTCTTTTTTTTTTATGATAACCTTGTGTATCTTTAAAGTGTATCATTTATTCAAATACTTTATCGCTTTTGTTATCTCAATCCTGTTTTAAAAAGACAAACGTGTTCCCGTGCACTGTCATTGGGTGATATGTTCTACTCGAAAATTAGAATAGAAACAAATATTATTGGTTACAAGATTTAAAAAAGATTAAGTGGTAGATGGCAGGAAAAGAAAAAGAATATAAAAATGGAAGCCAAAGCGAGGAACATTTGGAAATTTCAAACCTTACATTGCTTGCTGTTACATTCATGGTATATTGTAGTAAGGTGTTAAGAAATCAGCGTCAATATTAAACATATTAGGAAGGATTTTTATTGCTTTTTTATTTGAAATCCACATCATCTTTTTTTTTTTTGGCAAAAGGAATAAAATGATAATCTCTATTCAATTTATTTACAAATTTTCTAGACTTTGTGCGGTTAAAAGCTGGACAACTGTGTAGAGATTTGTCTATTGTTGATGACTGTATGTTGTATTCAAAATTGATCTTTCTTTGTGTCATTGAAGTACATATCTGTCAATCAGTACTAAAAACAAAAACGGAAAGGAAAACGTTTTGATGTATGTCGAGTGCGAATCATAAAAATATGATGAGAAAGTAAGATTTGGGCTTATAAATACTCGGAAAATAAAAACTAATGCATGATACAATTTTTTATCACAAGTTTTAATCATCTTAATGAAAAGTATGAGAAAAATAAATATATATAAGCTACAGCTTGCTAATAGATTTTAGTAAAACTAAAGTTATTCCATGAACAGTAGCCATCATCTCTAGTTCCTATTCCCAGAGAGTTTGCGTTAAACAAAATCTTGGGAGAGCGAGTTGTTCTAATAACAAGGTGTGTATATCATACCAGGTTTAACCCACCATTTTCTATATACGGAAATGTGACAGTTGTTTTCTTTTCGTTTGATGAGTTTGAGATTTTGATTTTGCAATTTGATAAGGGAATTTGCGTTTTGAATTTTCCTTAGAATTCGGTTTTTTGTTATTTTACTTTTTACTAAATTATGTTAAAAAAAACCAATTTCATTTTGTCCAAATTTCCTTAATTAAGCATGAAAATCTGCAAAAAAGAGTTCTCAATGATTTCAATGATTTTATAAAATCCCAAGTAAAAATCAGGGATTTTATAAATTCATTTATCAAGTCAGTGAGTATACAAAACTTCTGAATTTCAGGTTTAAAATCAAAAATAAAATCATTGTAACAGATACCAAGCCTACTTTCTAAGTTTTGTTTTCCATTACTCTCAAGCTTGATGGTATAAATAATTGTTTTATTAAACATTCGTAAAGTTGAATGGATGTCACGAATATCCTTAAAATTACTCATTTAAGAGTTGTCTCCTTTCGCTAAAATTATTGGAAACAAAGTAGGTAGTTTGAGAATGAACTTTCAACAACAAGAGACCAAGTGGTCAATCAGAACAACACAATTATCATTCAACACATCAGGATATAAATGACTGCTCCCTATCAATCATCTGTGCGTTCGGTCCCTTGTCATAATTTAAACATAAATTAAAAATCCCACCACAATAACACATTTCTTTTGCTTCATTTTTTAAGAGATTATCGAAACACTTTAAAGTTTTTAAAATAGGTCAAACCTTTGTGTTCTATTTCATTTTCTTATGGTAACTGATAGTATTTACGTAATGTAATGATTTCATTCTGTAATTTTAATTGATTCGTGACAATAAATATCTATATTTAAATCATTTAACATCATATATTCACACTATCATGCTACTTTTTTTTATTTTTGTGTATTCGGACTTATAGGACAGATGTAAACCTTTTTTCTGTACAATTTGTGAGTGCAGTTTGATATGATTTCATATCAGTGCTTATATCAGTGCAGGTTAAGCACTTAAGTTTGCTTTTAGTAACTGCCAGCATTCTTATATACTGTATAATATTGTTTATTATTTATTACATGTTTGATATAATATCCAAACTTTGGTTTTTCTACACACTGCACTGTCATTTATAATGCTGAATTAAAAGATCGACTACGTCTTCTTATCAAACAGTGTCTTTTCTTCAAAATTGAAGTCACGGATACAAATTTGTTTTTCAGGCCATGAAAAATCATATTTTGTGAACAACCACACTGATTCAATCAACGAATATACAACGAATACGATATTATAAATTTGTTGAAATTTCTGAATGACTAAATTATGTCGAGTTTGGTAGATTGGTATTCATAACAAACAGTCGGTAATCCAATGGGAAATTATTGTGCACTCCTACTGACCGACTTCATATCATATCAAGCAGAATTCATACAAACCCTTCTTAAAGACAAAGAGGAAAAGCACCTTACAAAGTTCTTTAATTTCACGTTCAGGTATATTTATATTGACGATGTCCTGTCACTCTTTTGTCCACATTTCAGAAGGTTCTTGTGAACTTGATATTAAGAATACTATCGAAACTAGAAAGTCTGCTTCATATCGAGATATTTTTGGAACGAATTCAATCTAGGATTAATGAATGTGACGATTTCAAGTTGTCAACTTCTCAGTAGTAACATACCCTATGCCAGTCGTATGTTGTATATTTATCCCAACTGATACGTTAAGCACGTGCATATTCACAATATGCAAACTTCATTACCAGTGTTGTGCTCCTAACACAAAAACGCCGCAACAGGGTAAGGAGGAACAATAGCTAAAATAGTCAATACACACTTTTTACGGTCACCATCACGAACTGTTTGATCGTCACGATGTGTTTTGTGTCTCAATTGTGACATTTTCCCTATTCAAAGATCTTAAAATATCAAAAAAGTTGTCTTTATTCCTCATTGCGACATTTTGACTGAGGTAGGATCCATGCATAGCAAGACTCTTACTCTGTCGACCCAGTCTCGTTCTATTTTGAGTTCACGAAATTTTACATCTTGATTTGATTAGTATACTTAAAAAATTGGTTTACGAGTTTTGAACATAATTATACTACTCTTGCCTCTTTCTTATTATAATTTAATTTTTTGTTTGTCCTTGTGTTTTTGTTTGTCCTTGTGTTTTTGTTTTTGTTATCTATTATACCCTTGTTATTTACCCTGCACTGACATGTAATTCGTGTATTTTTTGTTTGTCCTTGTGTTTTTGTTATCTATTATAGAATCATGTGCATAACAGTGTAGACGAGACCATTGATTGGCGCGCTAAAATATCCCATTGACTTGGTCAGATTAGGTGAACGTTCGTCTGTAACGCCCACTGCTCACGACGTACTTATTGTAGAAATTTAAACTGGGGGGTCACCAAAGGGTCTCAACGCCTAAATAAAATAATTCGAAAAACTAATCAGGAATAACCTTTGTGTTTTGATTTTTATTGAATACTTAAACGTTCTTTACTTGTGTTTTTGTTATGTTTTGATAATCAATTTTTATGACATCGCACGTTCTTTCAGCAAAAAAAAAAGGATTTAACTGGCTTTAAAAGTTACAATGCATGTGTTGATTATTATCTTTTTTTCGGACGTCAAAGCGATTTGATAATTGCGGTTGTCCAATTATGTCATCTTTTAACTTTTATCTGGTCAAAGTTTTATTTTAGAACGAATGCATGATCAACTTTAAAAAGTGTGCAAATACAAAACATATAGACAAAATATACTTCTGTCCTGTCTTTTTCGTACTTGCAAGTTATTAGACAGTAAAAAAGCTATTTGGATCAAGCCTTGTGAAATTTGCATTTACGTTATTGAATAGGTAAAATGTATAGTTTGGTGAATTTTTCTGCTAACTACTATACTTGAGAAAAACCCTTGGCAACAGAAACGTATTCAGCTTTTTTTTTTTAAATCGACCCAATTTACATAGTAATGGACGACTACGTACATTTTATGAATGCAAATAAAATATGTATATAATATACTGTGCACTGTAGTTCGTATAGTCATTTTTTCTTTTGTTAATGGATTTGCCCGTCTTTCTGGGAGTGATTTGTTATTGACTCCTTAAGCTTACTCGCAAATAATTTAAAACCAAGACTTGCATTATAAAAATGTCCAAACAAACCTTGATTTTCCTTTTTTTTTTAAACATACATCTCAGTCATAGATAAGGACTTAAATTCGCCAGGTCTTTAATTTCAAGTTAGTGAGTTGACCAAAGTAATATTGCGGACCATTTGCCAGTTTCCATGCGGTATCCGTGTTTTTTTCTCTCGCTCTGTTCTGCATCCACTCAACTTTCGTGTTTGTCATGACAAGGCCATTTGAAGCTTTCATGCTATACAGTGTGTGTTTTGCTTATTGTTAAAGGTCGTACGGTGACCTATATTGCTAACGTCTGTTGTTCACTGGAAGGGATTTGTCTGATTGTCTATCACACCACATATTTTTATTTTTTATATGCAGTTATATCTATAATAAAATTGAGAATTGAAACGGGGAATGTGTCAAAGAGACAACAACCCGACCAAAGAGCGGCAAATTTGTTTTTCGTTAAATGTTTTGTTGTAGATTAGGCTGTTGGTGTTCTCAATTGAATTGTTTCATATTTTTCATGTCGGGGACTGTTGTAGCCGACTATCGGTATGGGTTTTTCTCATTGTTGAAGGCCGTACGGTTGCCTATAATTGCTCACATCCACTTCATTTGAAC